AGCCAAGGGACCCATCAAGCTTGGTGATCTTTTTCTTCATCCATGTCCGTGTGCCGCCATTTCTCCTGGAGGGAGAAAAATTCTCAATGAGGTTACTCGAGGACGCCAAATTAGATTATTAGTGACAACCACGATGTTACGCAGAGAACGAACATTTCAATATAACCCCACAAGGCATTGCCTTGTCGAGGAGAGTCGTTTATTACGAACAACGTTACGGATATCTATGAAGATATCGACGTACGTACAACAAACGTCTCATCTGGAACAGGTCATCATAGTGCCCACAAGTGTGCAGAATAGTTGATGGAACGGTCCGACGGTAGATGCGCATCTTCTGTAGTTACAGTAATTCGCCATAGGTCTTGTTCATTAGGGTGAGAAACCACCAATCACGTTATTTTGCACAATCCAAACATACTACTCACAAATGGGAGTAGCACCTCATTCACAACAATGGTAAGAATGAAGCTCTGGTAGACGTGTTTCTTACGTATAGTCTCTCTTCATCCTCCACGGTGCTTGCTGTAGTACCCTTTGGAGAAGTTGTAAACTATATAGTATCGACAATAAACTTCTCTTCCCCAAAATGGCAATTTTCCAAGTTGGTATTAACAACTATGCAGATTTCGCTATCCCATGTGAATGCACCGCTAAGGGCATCATTTAGTCACACACATACATACACACACACACACACACACACACCGAATATAGTTGTGGATGGATACGACACAAATTGGCTCCGGCTTAGGCAGGTGACAATAATCAGTTCCGAAATAAGTTTATACAGCACGGTTGAATTCCAAAGCTCTGCCATTTTTGCTTAGCTAGCGAGACGATGCAAGTATAATTTGTTCCAAAAATATCCAAATATTATATTCATAAAGATCGGTATAAATTTATCCTAAGGAAGGTGGCAGAACGATTAGCGGTAAAGGATTTGTTGTTTATCAGACTGACGGACGGGTCTAACGAAAGTGATGAACCTACCTGATAGTTTCGTTGTGTCAATACGCCGGTTGTGTGACGTCTGGATGGACGTCCAACGGTCGCTGAGGCTGCCGATAAGCCACGAGAGTCCTGGACAGATCCAGGTGGTCCAGGATAAGGCCAGCCCATCGCGAACGGGGTCATATCGTCCCGGTCCGTGTTGGACGATCGCAGTGTATCTTGCCAAGCATCTTGATGATAGGGGGAATGCATAAGCAACATATCCGCCTCACCGACCGACAGGACAGCTGTGGTGTTCGAGCTAGGATTTGCCGACTTTCGTCCACTTGCACCGGGTCCACTTCGAGGACCACGTGAACCGGCTCCGCCAGCACCGGCGCTCACAGCTTTAGATGCCTCGGTCATTCCCAGCAAAGGTGAGTTTGCCGAACGATGACAGTCTCCCATTGAACTGGGTACGGCGGTTTCGTTCTGATCGTTTTGTCCTTCACCGGTTTTGTCACGACCGATCCAGACCCAGTTGGTATCACGGTGGAGTAAAGCCTGACGAAGTCAGAAGGAAATGGACAACGCAAAATCAAGAACCCATCTTTGAAATCTTATTATGAGACTTACACCTCAGTCATGTTAGCTATAGCCTCCAGGATAGAAACCTTCACCAACTGACTAGCTGTTGCAGGGCGATGGCAGAGGACTGGGTTCCATTTTCTGGGGAATTTTGTCATACACAGAGCGGAAACAATATAATAGAAGGGTTTATAAGGATCGCAATACAACTGTTTCGACCTGGTTGGGTCTCAGCAGCGGTGTAAATTAATCAAATCGGCAGAATATTGAACCCGGGACCTTACGGGTAGAACGCAAGTATACTGCTCAATCGACAGCCGAGCAGCTGATCAGACAGCCTCTCATTTTGTCTATATACCATGCAGCATAAATAGCGCTGTCTCTCTCAGTTATACAAACACACGACATTTGACAGAATCCANNNGAACCCCCCCCCCCCACGCCGCTGCCCACGGTCACCTGAAGATAACCATTTTGACACCCCACAACTTAAGGATTAAGTACAAACATCCCGATATGAACTTGATTGACGAACAAAGAACACACCCGAATGCTCAAGGTCATTGGTGAACCCAACGCCGCACGCCGGCGTCATTGATCGTTCTACACGTGTTAGAGACTGGACATCAAGCGAATGTGACCACGGCATTCAAGAGTTTCCGTCACGCAAAATTCTTGTTTGCTCCAGATTGCAGAGACGATTGTTGTAAAACGATGGAATCTTGAACTGTACACGCTTAAACAGTTGTTTGCAACTCTAATCCTACCTTTTTAGGAAGATGAACGAATTTAGCATCAATAGCTCATCCACTGTAACTGTACCCTGTTAGTTCTCATTGTAGTGGTTAACTGTATTGTATACCTGAAGAGATACAGCGAAATCTTTCCGGAACGGAACTATGCACCACTATACTGCTGTGTTATTCAGTCAAACGCCTCAACTCAGATCAATACCGTGCATTGAAATATGATCGAAATAGACGATTCAAATTTTTTCCATTTTCATAGTCCCGTTTCGTGTTTCTGCAGAGGGTTCGTTTCTTCAACTATTCCATTTTGTTCAAACAGTTGTATGGCAAATTGAAGTTTTATGTTGAGATTGTGAAAAGTTCAGTAGCCTCGGTGGGATGGGAACCCACGCATGGACGCCACCTACGCTTTTGTACGGCGCACGCTCTACCAGCTGAGCTACGACGAGGCCACACCGATAGCACTGATCTTTTCACATTCGAATTACCCATCCAACTTACAGAGGCGTATGGCATCCATCAGTGCTATTGATGTGGCCTCGTAGCTCAGCTGGTAGATCATGTGCTGTACAAAAGCCTAGGCGACGTTCACGCGTGGGTTTGGATCCCAAAAGCTCGACAAATTCCATTTTGAGCTCGATTGTCTGGGGTCAACATGTTGAACTGCGACCGGTTTGTGAACACAGATCACATCTGCTCGATCGGTGGTCGGGCTCGAATTTGTTTTTTCCGGATTCAAAAAGAAATTTCACTGCAGCTTCACTCGACCCCATGAGATCGGAAATGGGATTGTTAACGGTGAAATTCACTACGGTTTTTCGTCAAAGTTCATCCACACACACACACACACACACACACACACACACACACACACAAACACACCAGCCAACGGCCTAAAAGCACTGCTACACAAATTATCTTTGTTCGATCTTGGTGGCACGAGCATCTGCCGGGATGTGGGGGGCCCCAAAATCGAACCGCTTCGCGATGAGAAAGTAGCCGATTGTGAGGTGATTGACCCAT